ATTTTGTTGGATCTCTCTTTTTGTGATGTTCGTAGCCATTGATCATTGCCTAGATCCATTAATTCATTAGAGGTTGCAAAATAGGTTCTAATTTCATTTAGACTTTCAGTTAGATTCAATTAGATTCTATCATTTCTTTGCAGGAATACTTTTCTATAGAGAAACTTCATCTCATTTCTTATTTAGTTACCCAGTGACATAGTTTATATGGGGAAGACAAGATAAATTATTGATTCCTTTATTTACCAGAGAGGGAAGTTACAGGGGGAGGAGAGAGATATTTCCCAGTTATCCTCGCATAGTGACCAGTTGGGGTGTGTGTGTGTGTTTAGTATCATTATAAACGTGGGGATTTAAACATATTTGATGTATTCCAACTGTCTCAGCTTTGGTCAGAGTTGGCCTCTTCAAGTTGGCTCCCAAGCCCTATTGAGTTTGTCTGATGTGACAATTCAGGCCCATCTTACACATGTTCTGCCACCAACTTGGAATCTGCCATTTAAAAAAACCTTGGTTTCTTTTAGTGGGAAAAGGGTCTTTTAGGGCCCAGACTGCTGTAGCCATCACAGAGTTTATTGTGGATCCCTTGTGCTCACTTGCTATTGGAGTGTGCAGACCCCTTCCATTTCCAGCCACTGCTCTCAGATTGGTTTACGGAGCCTTTGAGTACCTGTGGCTATTTTGGAGCTCCTAGGTCCATCACATGCCCATTGCTCCCCTTTGCTTTCCTCCCCACAGATGCTGATATTATGCAGCCCTTGTTTCTGTCAGAGTTTGGCCCTGCTTGCTTGTATGTGGGGGAGTTGTGGGAATACCTTGTCAATTATTTTTGCTATATAAGTTGTTCACTACTTGCTGGGTTTCTATGGAGGGATTTGTAAATAATGAAAAATTATGCCACTGCTACCACCATTTTTTCCCAATACCACCTTATTAAAATACAACCATAATAGCCTCTTAATAAATGTCCTCTACTGCTTAAACTAGCCAGTTAGTTTTTACTGTTTGCAGCTAAGAACCAAAACTGATACTGGTGGATGTTATTTAAGCAAAGTGGTGGTAGAAGCAAAAATTTTGTGGCCTGATCTGTTTTGAGGCCTATGAATAGCTGAGCGGATTTGTGCACCACTTTGGTTAAAGTGAAAGCTGTAATAGCAAGCTGTATTCTCCTGGAAGCTTGGACAGCAACAAACCATGACAGATCCTTGCTGTAGGTAACAGGGTCACTGTATATTCTTGAGGAGGAAAGTGGGCTTCAGGAAGATTAACCTTCTGATCTGTGCAAGATAGACGAGGGGTGTGTGAGGGAGACCAACACAAGGTAATCTGCTGGAAAACTAACAGTGCTCCAGAGGAGACTGGCAAGTACCAAAAGTAGAGCAGCGGGAATGTAAAGGGGAAGACCTGACATAACGTAAGAAAACTCAACAGTACTGGGTGGCTGAGAGGGAGAGTCAACAGTTGAGGTCTCAAAACTGGGTGATAGAACATAAATAAGACAAGTAAAAGGAAAGCATGGAATTACATTTGATTTCTAACTAACTCATCCCAGTAAGCTGGCCCGGAAGAAGCCCTACTCAGCACTTCCACCACACAAGTCGTTTCACCGCAAAGTCATCTGCCTTCAAAATCTTCCAGACTTACGTGATATACATGAAACCTATGAGGATTTGATGTAATACTTCAGAGACTTCAGAAGAGGCACAGGCGAAATGGCCTGAGTCCTGACATTTTCAAAGCAACATCAACTCTGCAACCTGCATATTCGTTGTCTAAAGCAAATGGATCTTTTCAATTTAACACTAAAAACCAGCCCTTGAAGCACTTACTAGAGCGCTTAATCTTGAATTGACTACTCTCTAGCTCCTGTCAAAAGACCAACTGAGACTATTTCAGAATAATGATAACATCAATTACCCTTTCTTTAAGAAGTGATAGATTACATGTCTGTAGTAAGTCAGATCACCATAAAGCTACAGACCTAGATTTTATTACTTCAGCTTCCGGTAGAAACATCATTGATTTATAATTTACTCTGGCGTTTCTGTGGTATTCAATAAATGATAGAGGCATACAAGCACATTTATGCACTTGATACACCTGCACTGGAGACATTTTCACTTTGTAGTTCATTGACCTTTAATGTTAAAACTTCCTGACTTTTGTGCTAGAGATTTCCTTTTCTTAGCAACTGTTATGCCCTCTTTAACTGGATGAACAGGAATACATGGCCTCCCTTTTCAAGTTGGTGCTGGAAATCTCAGACCTAAACTCAGTGTCCCCAGCAAAGCACTCTTTCGCTTACATCCCTCACTTCCCCTACATGGCTCCGGATCTTATTTCAGGTCATACTGTACTAGTCGTTTAATATAAACTATCTCAAATCCACGAAGGAAGATGGCATAAACTATACTACCTCAAATCCACCAAAGAAGATGGCATAAACTGTATCCAGCTGCCTTCTCTCCCTTCACCTCTATTTTGAGTTATTTTACCACTATTACTCACTGTTGCAGACATTATTAAACAGCAACAGAAGTCCCCCTCAAAGTGCTTATAGCTTTAGAACAACTGTGAAAAGCCACTTGCTTATTGTTTCCTTTCAGCCAAAAGATTATTTGAACTAGGATGAAACAATTAGCAATGGTGAGGAATAATATAGATTTAAAACAAAAATGGTAGTACACTGAGTTAAGCATTTTCCAAGGGCATTACTCTGTCAGAAGATACCAAAGTCAGGCTTAATGGTTACTTTAACCACCCGAGTCTACACTCAAGCATTGTTTTTCTGTTGGCTCTGGCACACACTTATTACCCCCATTACAATCATTATAACTAACCCTCGGGACCTTCTCCTAAGAAACTATGATATGGTGACATAATAGGAGGGACAGTGGTGTCAGGCCTGGTTTCAAAATCCAAATCCAGCACCAACTGGTTGTGCAATTCAAGCAAATTAATCTGAGTTTCTTATTTTGCAAAATGAGTACTACATCAGGATGTTGAAGACATAATCCAAAGAACCTAGAACAGTGCCACAAGCACCAAGCTACCTACTTTGCCCTTCACATACTCCCCTTAACTTTAACCCTGCATTTCCTTCTGCCATCATCTTAGCCAAGTCCTATTCAAACCTTGATTAATTTAGCAACTTCCTATGAGACTCTAGAACCCTTCAGTTTCTCCTCTTCCAACCATCTAGTTTTCCTCACACTGCTCTCACCACTCTTAAGACCTTACCATGACTCCGCATCACCTAGGACATCATCCAGGTGCACTTCCGGTTTCCCACAAAAGCCAAGCCTTTGTGACTTCCCACGATGCCCTCCCCTCTGCCCTAGCCAATCAATCTACATGTTCAAGAACCAATTCATGTCCCTCCTCCCTCAAAAAGCCATCCCAGATATTTTCACCAACTGAACTTGCTCTTCTGAGTACAGCACCTAAAATCTGTATTCCAACTATTTGGCTCTTGTATATACTTAGCTGATTATTAATGACTTTTGCTTTCTAAACTAGACCATAAAATTAAGGGTAGGGACCATATCCTATTTTTCTTATACCAGTTTCAAAGGCATAATCATAGGCCCCACCCTTCACCATTCACACACAAAACAGGAATAGGAGGGTGCTCCAGGAAGTTCATGAAAAAACAGAATTAAAAGGTACTACAAATCTTTCCATGAACTCTTTGAAGTACCCTTGTATGTTGAAGCGGGGAATGGGACAGCATTAAAAACTCTCCAGGTGATTCTTATAAACCATGCACGAGAAAACCTCTATGTATCATCCAGCAGAAAGAATTTTGTCAACAAGTATTTATCTGTATTATTGACAAATAGGGCCTTAATACAGAATTAAACTTTTTTTTTTTTTTTTTTGTCTTTTTCTGTGTCCGGCAACGGATCGCAACCCTCAGTGTTGCCCCCGTACCGGACCGGGGACCGGCAACGGGATCGCAACCCTCGGCGCTGCTCCCACGCCTCGCTCAGCCAGTGAGCGGGAACCGGTCCGTATGTGGGATCCGAACCCTCGGGCGGGAGCGCCGCCGCGCTTCCCAAGCGGCGTGCGCCACCGGGCTGGCCCTTTTTTTTTTTTTTTAGAAAAAGGGGCCTTAAAAAAAAATTAAATTTTTTTTTTTTTTTTTTTTGTCTTTTTCTGTGTCCGGCAACGGATCGCAACCCTCAGTGTTGCCCCCGTACCGGACCGGGGACCGGCAACGGGATCGCAACCCTCGGCGCTGCTCCCACGCCTCGCTCAGCCAGTGAGCGGGAACCGGTCCGTATGTGGGATCCGAACCCTCGGGCGGGAGCGCCGCCGCGCTTCCCAAGCGGCGTGCGCCACCGGGCTGGCCCTTTTTTTTTTTTTTTAAAGATGACCGGTAAGGGGATCCTAAACCTTGACTTAGTGCTATCAGCACCACACTCTCCCAAGTGAGCCACGGGCCAGCCCTAGAATTAAACATTTCTTTTGCCAAATATAAAGCCAAAGCTGTTGCTATGGTTCAGAAAAAAAAGTGGGAAATACTTGCTATTTTTCAGATAAGAGGATAGCCACTGCTAAAACAAGGATTCCTCCTCCAACATGGTGTAACCTGCCTTGGTGCCTCTGGGCACATTCAACAGCATTAGCTGGGAGTGACTAGGATAGGGGTATCTCCTGTTTTGGCACCAGGATAATTCTGCTTTAGTGTTCTATAGATAATTCTATGGGGTGGGGGGGAGGCACGAGACAGCTGCCTGGTTCTGGAATTTGAACCCGTGACCTTGGTGTTACAAGGCTACACTCTAACCAACTGAGCTAACTGGCCAGCCCTAGATAATTCTATTTTTTATGTAGTTTCTTATCACAGATATCTCTTGAAATTGCCTCCCTAGTTTTCCACAGGTTGAGAAAGTCACTTCCCTCTATTTTTGCAACGCTTAATGTTTGTTAATTTGCATTGTTTTTTCAGAAGTAATCCTCCATCTCCATAAACAAATGAAAACCAAACAACACAGTTGGAAATCAAGTTTTGCTTTTATATGAACAGAAGTAGACCATCTAGAAATATTTCAGTTTATTTAAATTATTAAGTAGAATATGAAACCGAATTTGTAGCTAGTACCAGAGGATGGACTTAACTGTTTGGTGTTTAATGAGAACAGCTTCTACATAGGATCCCAGGAGACTTACAGAAAAGGGGCAAAGCCCTAATATTAAGCAAATAAAACTCATGTTTCAAACAGATTATACAAAAATTGATTTATACTCCATTTCCCTTTTTTCTTGATATTTAGAAAGTGCAGATTTAACAAAAGGTAGCCATATCCTTTGTAATGTACAATGCCGATTATAATTATGCAAACAAAACTGTCAGTCTGTTAACCAAAAATCCCAGTGTTTAGCTCTCAAACCTTAAGTCAGTGAATTGAACAGTAAGATTAAAGAGGGTTAAAAATAAAAAAGCTACTGCCACATTCCAGATAAAGGGAAGCAACAAATACATTAAAGTTCATCTAACAACAATAGATTTAACCTAAAACTTTTCGAAAAGCTTAACATCATTTCATTATTTTTTTAATGGAAAGTTAGATATTATTTGGCAATGCTGCTTTTTTACTAGTAGTAAACAATGATAAAGTCAAGTGAGGGAAAAATCTAAGAACAACCAGTGAGGCATATAAAATTGTTTTTCGGGCACTATCTGAAAAATTCTTGGATTTTCATAGCAGATACGTCCCTATGTTGCTTGTTTTCGTGAGCCAAGAGGTCGTTAAAATGCTATTCACGACACAGAAAGAATTTTCAATGGAAGCTGCTGTCCTAAACTCAGCCTCTGCTAGAAATGAATCATGCTATTCACGATTATTTCAACAGAGGTATCATCTTAGGATGCTAGCAGCATAGCAAACTTATCTTACCCTATCCCAGTGATAAGCAATGAAGCAAAATTAGAAAAACGAAGTGAAAAAAGGACAGGGTTAGAGATAGCTGGAGATTTCATCTTCACATAAAAGCGTTTTGTTGTCCTTTTTCCAAATCCATGGTAATACAAGTTTTCCAAAAGGATGTGAAGATAGGACTTAAAATTAATAATATTCTAAAGTATTTATAAATCTTAAGGTAAAGACAACTTAACACTGAAAAAGTGTTCTTTGAAGGCCAAATCTCAATACATTTGGCAAACATGTTAATAAAATTCACTCCTCCTTCCCATTTTTTTGTTTTAAAACAATCTTTACTGGGCTACCAAACTGCTAGAGGAGCTGCCAAAATGGAGACTACTCAAATTTAGGTTAAGAGATTTATTCTAGGAAAGTGAATAGGCTATACACCTAATTAGAAAGACAAACCACAACACCCTCCAAACACTAGAGCATGCAATTAACTCCTCCATTTCATAAACTCAGTGGACAGACAGGAAGGGAACAAACAGGGAGAAAAAGGTACACAGAAGTAAAACAGCAAATGAAGGAATCTGGCACAGACATTTTAGGGCAGGGAGCAAATGGAGGGAAGACATCGATTAACTGACATTTGATAAAAGGCAGTTAGAATTTACCTTTCAGCTTACTTAGCAAGTTAAATCAGAGCTTTATATTAAACTCGACAAACGTACTAGTTTGCCCCTTTCATTTTTAAAAAATCATACCATGAGGTGGCAGGAGAGAAGCAAATAAAGCAGCATGCAAGAAGATGGGCCGCAAGGGAAAAGTGGCCAAGGAGAAGGAACGGTGGCAGGACTAGTTTTAAATATCAAGGCCACTTAAAATGAGACTCAGCAAACCAAAGTTATCATTTCTGCATTACCCTTTGTCCTCAATTAACTACTTTAAAAATTACAGCCAAGCAAACCACAAACATTTTAATGGTTTATGTATGGATGATATGTCTCCTGCACATGCTTCCACCAAAACAAAAAAGGAAAAAAACCAAAGAAGTTCCTTTCCACATAAGGCACAGGACAAAATTAACCCCATTTACATATTCAAGGCGAAAATGAGTGTTTTCCTGGCTTCCGTTTCTTTTGCTATCACGTGTCTATAGATTAGAGGGACTCAAGCACATTATCCATGACAGAAAATTCCACTGTTGTACAAAATAAAATTGTTAATTCTAACTTTTATTCTTATACAATTTGCAGAATAGAGTTGAAATGATTGCTATAGGTTTTAATGTTGATAAGAAGAACTGGACTATAATACAACTGAAATGCAGTGGTGAGCTGAGCAAGTACATTTAAAAATGAAGTCACAGACATGATTTTTCTATACATTTTTTGTTTGAAGGAAATTATAATAAAGTCAGCAAGCAGTCACAGATGAAAGAACAAATAAAATAGGTGGACTGGATAGTTAAGATGAAGAACAGAAATATCTGTTTAGAGTTAAAAATGGACAGAGTGGCTTATTTTGCAGCAGGGAGAGAAAACGGGTGGTGGATGGCAACTGATGGAACAGGAGAATGCTCAGCAACATTTGCTCTTCCAGCCTGTCACGCCTCCTCCACTGCTGATATCTACATTTTCACTGTTGGGCTCTTTTACAGGGGTCTGGAACAAACACACAGGAAAGTAACCCATGAAAAAACATTGCCATCAAGATTCAACAGAAATAGTCTCAAAAAATGTCATTTTATGCAACAAAATACAATTGCAGTCACATGAGATAGCGTCCCCTCCACCCCCCATGCAAAGTAGATTTGGAAGCTTTGTTTTTGACCTTTATTTTGCCTGCTTCTTCCAAGTTGTGAAATTTTAGCCATTTCCTGGCATCCCTTTATAAAACTTCTGAAATCATTTCTGTCCTAACAATTTTAAAAGATCTTATTATCTCCTAGCCCTGACCTCTGAGTACATTTAGTACTTAAAAAGCATTATGAAGCAAGTTGTATAAAACCAATGTTGGGTCATGTCTAACTTTAGAGAAATGAAACAGAAACCCTTTTCTGTTTAGTTATTTTGCCTTTTGAGACTGAAGCTGGTATTACTCTACCATAGCTTTAAAAAGGCAACCTTCACCATTAAATGAAAATGGGTGGGGTAAAGTGCAAAGTTACATAAATCACGTGGAAAATGGACACAGAAAAAACCCAAAGGACATACACCAAAATGTTAACAGTAGCAACCCTTAGGTGATGGGTTTATGGTGATTTTATGTTCTTCTTTGTTTTCCCAACATTCTAAATATTACTTCTAAAATCAGAAGAATACACTGTTTTAAACGGGCAGACACATACTGTATCTATGAAAAAAAATTTTCTCAGTGATAGCCTATATACAGAAAAATACACAAATCTTAAGTGAAAAGCTTGTGTATTTTTAGTATATACTGTGAAATCACCAGATCAGGATAAAGAACATTATACCCCCAGAAGGCTCCTTCATACCCTTTTTCCAGTAAATACAACCCTTTTACAGTTAACCAATATTCTGACTTCTATCATCATAGACGAGTTTTTTATGTTCTTGACCTTCATATACATGGAATCATAGTTAAATTTATTGTCTGATTTCTTTTACTTATCTATGCTGTTGTGTGTAACAGCAGTTCACCACGAACGGAATTTTAAAAAGTAGAATGTACCTGAGAACTTATTGTCTCATGGAAACAACATAAAGTAAGGTCTTGAGTAGCCCAAGAGAAACCTACTTAACTCACACTGAGGTGAAATTTCTACTTGCCCTTATAGCCCACCCACCTACCATCAATGCCTAATGGGATTCCTCTCGTCTGTTGAAGCAGCAAGTTTATATGTTAAAAAGACATTTGTAGGTTTTCCTGAACTAGTGCCTTTGCTCCTAATACAGATCTTTAAGAAAAATATAGGCAAGAAGAGAAAGAGGCAGCTCAGCACCTAGCCCACAGCAAGAAAGAATATAGTCGCACAGGAAATACTCTTTCTCTAAGAACTTCCAGGTGTGGGTCAGGTTCAGGACATGAGTGCCTGTAACCAATGAGGCCCCTACATTTATTTACTTAGCACTTCACTCACAGTCCATCTTTTTACAATTTAACTTAGATCCTTGAAACGGACTCTCTAAAAACGGGCATCTCTTGCAGAGCAAAATGTTTTAGAGACAAAGTATTAATCGAGTTAATTAAATACAACTTAAGCTGGCTTCTAGCTACAAATAAGAAAAGGCAAATAACCAAATAGAAAAACTGGGCAAAAGAATAAACAAAAAGTGTACCAAAAAGGAAATGCAAAAGTGATTCTTCATTTTCTAAAAAAATTTATCTCTTTTTATTTTTTAGGTAGCTGGTGGTATGGGGATGTGAACCTTTGACCTTGGTGTAAAAGTGATTCTCAAACATATTTTTAAATGCTCAGTCTTACTTACAAGAGAGCTGTAAATTAAATCTACATCCTTTAACCTGTCAGATTGGGAACGATCTGAGTTTTATAATCCACTGTGCTGGCCAGGGTGTGAGTAAACAGACATTCTCATACACTGCTAGTGGGAGTGTTAATCGGTATAACCCTAATGACAGAATTTGGCAGCAACTACCTTTGGCAGCAACTACCAAAATTGCAAATGTACATATATATTCTGTGGCCACTTCTGGGAATTCATCTTTCAAATATACTTACACAAAATGATTTAAATATAAGATTATGCACTACGACACAGTGTATAAGTGCATAAGGTTGAAAATAATCTAAATGTCCCTCACCAGGAGACTTGTTCAATTATGATATAACCATTCAAAGGAGTACCATGCAATTATTTAAAAAGTAGATTTATTTTACTTATAGTAAGTGAAAAAGGCAAGGTGACAAATATAGAGTATGTTACCTCATCTGTAAAAAAAAAAAGGGGGGTGGTGGTGGTGGATGGGAATAAGTATATTCATATTTACCCATAGTAATTTTAACAAATTAATTACATTAGTTACCTGTGGGGGAGGGATGAGAAACTGGCAGTTGAGAGGATTAGGGGAATGAAGTGGGAGACTTCTCTTTACTTTTATTTTTACTCTTTTTAAATGTTTAAACCATGGGAATGAATTACCTATCCAAATAATTAAGTTAAAAAAATTTTTTAATTGCTTTCATTCTGAAGTTAATTCTAATGTGAAGCAAGGTTTCATTTGATGTTTTAACTCATAACTTTACATGGGCAAGACTCTAGACTGAGATCTTTCTTTATTGGTGTATCCACACTTAAATCTTTAATATGATAATAAGGAAGTTCTACCTCACTGGGACACGTTATATAATGGCTGTACAGCACTCTCCAAAAAAATGTCAAGACTGGTAAGAAGATCAAAGGACACAGTATAGACAGAAAGCAGAAACCATGTAGAAGACCGAAAAACCCAGAAAGAGAAAGAACACAGAGACAAGGGTATTTCAATAAGTTTTGTGATGACTCCTACCAGTCATATCCTGTTCTTTACTTGGACTGTGAGTACTGGAATAATTTTTCATCCTGACTCAATCTTCTCAAATAGAAAGTACCTTCCACCAATTAGCAAAAACATTTTTCTATTCCTTTTAGTCCCTTTAATTACAAATATGAAAAAAATTTCCTAATCAACACAGTATTTTTCTATTCTATTTTCTTGTTCCTCAAAGGAATAATAAATAATAAAAATTTATCCTCTCAAGGAATTTGCAAAAGAATTAGTGAATTAGTATTTTTTTAATTAAAAATTTTTATAATTAGGGGCCAGCCCGGTGGCGCACTGTGCTAGTGCGCCGCTTGTGAAGTGCGGCGGCGCTCCCGCCGAGGGTTCGGATCCCACATACAGACCGGTTCCCGCTCACTGGCTGAGCGAGGCGCGGGGGCAACACCGAGGGTTGCGATCCCGTTGCCGGTCCCAGTCCGGTACAGGGGCGACACTGAGGGTTGCGATCCGTTGCCGGACACGGAAAAAGACAAAAAAAAAAAAAAAAAAATTTTTTTTATAATTAAAAAAAAGTTAGAATTTCAACAAAACTGCCTGTAAGAGTCAGTAAATGATTTTGTCCTACAGTCTCTCCCCCTTACCACCATCACTCTCTTGGATTATTCACCATTTAGAGTTTGGTATCTATCCTTCCAGATCTTTATTTGCTATAGAGTGTGTGTGTATTTCTGTGTACAAGTGTGTGTGTGTGTACAAGTGTGTTTGGTAGCACACAATATTTCAAAATGAGATCACTAAACATATTATATCCTAACTTGCTTTTTATCACTCAATATACTATGATATCCTCTATACTTAATTGCTCTGAGCCTCACTCATTCTCTGAAATCAAATCCAATTTTTGATCTGACTGGATTCTCAAAGAAAAACATCTCCTAAAGCAGCGACTCCTACAACATGGTATGCAGGATGCTGGCAGACTTGGAGGAGCACAATTTTGTAGTCCCCTTGAATAGTAATAATTGATGACCGTTTTTCCCAGTCTGAACATTCAGCTGTAGTCAAGAGAGATCTACATTTCACTCTAAAAAATTAAGTTGCTTGGTTTTAATGATTTCATACACAGAATTTGCTTCAATGTAAATATCTATATTCAATTTCTTATAATTGCTCAGGAATTTCACTAGATTTATATTTGACCTACCACCTCTATTACACTTGTTTTACAGATATCTACCTTTTATCTCTAAGTTGGTTACTGAAAAAATACTAATATTTCAAATATAAAAACATAAAGGTTACCAGAAGCAATTACATTTTCTCCTATACAATGTTTGCTTCTCTTTTAGGATTCGTCTCAGATTTTACCTATATTTATTTGCATTTAAACTTATAATAGATTGAATAGAGAATTGAGGACTCATAACCAAATCTATGCATTATATCTAGTCATTTGAAGGAAACTATGAAAAGCAGATTTCCTAATTTTGCGACATGTTACTCATACTAGACTAGTATTGGGATTCACAAATCTTAAAGCCAGAAACAAACCTGAGGTAAAATGAATTCTCCAAGATTACATTCTCAGCATTATTTATTTATTTTTTACATTACAGGTTGCGAATTCGGTAAATGAAATTTGAGATTCCATTTATTCAGTATATAACGTATACATATGATAGAATAGATTCTGTAGCACTAACTACATAATAGATTCACTTCTTTTTTTAAATTTTCTCAAATTACCTATGGGAATACAAAGACCCATTAAGAGAAATGAGTCCGAGATTATAAAAGCTGGAAGAAGATAAAAAGCTAGAAAAAGGAATATGGAATTGGGGACTAGACAGTGACTGTGGGAGTGCAGAATACTAATTGTTTCCACTGTCTAGATCCTTCAGATTTCTAGATGGCTTTCTGTTCCCCTGAGTTCCTTACTTTATTCTGGAAGATTAGACAATGGTAATGGGTAACCACTTAGAAACAGTACCACCCAAATCCAAATTTTGTATGTGAATTCAGTACTTTATTCTTTATTTTTTTGGTGGCTGGCTGGTAAGGGGATTCAAACCCTTGGCCTTGGTGTTATAACACCATTCTCTAACCAACTGAGCTAACCGGCCAGCCCTAAATTCAGTACTTTAGAATAGACAAAAATATTTAACTGAGACACTCAGGTACCTTAACAGGAAGTAAAACTAGGAACTTACCTTTCGAAGGATATCTTCAGCTAATGTGAGGAACGCCTTTTCGATGTTTATATTTGCTTTTGCACTAGTCTCAAAAAATCTAATACCATGCTCCCTTGCAATCTAAAATAGAAGAAAAATATCATAGTAAAATTATCAAGCATGGGTTGCCGACTGATGACTTTAACCTCTTAGAGGAAATACTAATCTTATTCTGAAGACAATGGTCTCAACTAGAACATGTAAAACATTATTTCAAAGAGTCAAGGTCTTTCAAAAAACAAACAAAATAAAAGTAATCAAAAATAATTCTCTCATTACCAGAAGAGTTTATGTTAGATACTTTAACTCAGACATTTCAGTCTGGGAGCAAACTTAAGAGAAGCTCAGTGTGACTCAGTATCTAATTTCTGCTTGTCACAGGCTCCTAATTGTCCAACTTTAGAATCATTGTTTATATTTTTCCCTCTTCATAGTTTAAATAAGGCTAAAAATGCTACAGCCTCAGATTCGATTCTCTCATAGATGCTGGATATACACTCAAATGATAAGCTATTGCTTGCAACAAGCATTTAAAAATCTATAAAACTACCTCAGTGTACTCCATCACCACTACTATAAAAAGTCAAAAGCAATATTATCTTCACAAAGAAAGGGCAACAAGGTTTCTTTCAGGGATTTTTACCTGTTCTCCTTTTCCTTTAGGTACGACTCTTTTATCGTCCATATCACACTTGTTTCCTAGTAACATTCTTTCCACATCTTCATTGGCATGCTAAAATGGAATAAAATTTTACTTTTACACACTACCATGAATGATGGCTTAATATTTTCTTTAAATGACTTTATTTTTCTCAATTTAGAGTATCATTTCTTTAGCTTGCAAGTTTTAAAGAAGTCTCCCTAAAACCACCCCATGATAAAAGCTTACACAAACTTTTAAATTGCCTAGCAAAAGAGACACAATTCCTAAGAAACATCCATGCCAAATACTGTTTGCCCTCCAGAGGAGGCTGTATGCTTCCTAGATATGTTCTCACCAAAAGAAAAGATACGGGCAAAGGATCTGATACTGGAATCCCACAGGCATAATCTAAATCCAAGGTAAGACATAATTTCAGATTTCATAATGTGTATGCCTATAGAGACCTTAACTAAAAAGTTTACAGAGCCCTTAAGTCTTAGAGCACAAGGAGATCCCACTCAGAAAAATCAGTTAAAAACAAATGGTTGCCCCATCAAAATCCCAATGACATTTTTGCAGAAATAAAAAGATCCATTCTAAAATTCACATGAAATTCTAAAGGGACCCCCAAATAGCCAAAATAATATTTAAAAAGAAAGTACAAAGTTGAAGGATTCACACTAATTTCCTAATTTCAAAATTTACTGCATACCAAAGCAGTGGGGTACTGGCATAAAGACAGATAAACAGACTACTGGAATCAAATAGGCTAGAAATAAATCCTCCTGTATATGGTCAAACAGTTTTCGAAAATGGTGGCAAAATCAGCCAAAAGGTAAAGAACAGTCTGTTCCACAAATGATGCTAGGAAAACCAGACATCTACATGTAAAAGAATAAACCTGGACCCTTATTTTACACCATACACAAATATTAACTAAAAATGGATCAAAGACATAAACCTAAGACCTAAAACTCTTAGAAGAAAACATAAGAAGCTTCATGACATTGAAGTTGAAAATAATTTCTTGGATATACCAAAAGCACCAGCAATTAAAAAAAAAAAGTAAATTGCATCAAAATCAAAAACTTTTGTGCAACAAAGGACACTATCATGAGAGAGAAAAGGCAACACACAAAATAAGAGAAAATATCTGCAAATCATGTATCTGATTAAGGGATTAACGTCCAGAATATATAAAGAACTCCTAAAACTCAACAAGAAAAAACCTGATTCAAAAATGGGAAAGTACTTGAACACACAGTTCTCCCAAGAAGATATACAAATGAACAATAAATGCATGAAAAGATGCTCAATATTACTAATCATTACGGAAGTCAAAATCAAAACCAAAATGAGATACCACTTCACACCAATTAGAATGGCTATTATAAAAAAAACAAAAACAAAAAAACCCCCAACAGAACACAAGTATTGGTGGGGATGTGGAGAAATTGAAACCCAAGTGCCCTGTTGATGGGAATGTAAATGGTACAACCACTGTGGAAAGCGGTTTGGCAGTTCCCCAAGAGGTTAAACATAGAATTATTCTATGATACAGCAATTCCACTTGTAGGTATGTATCCAAAAGAATTTAAAGCAGGGACTTGAACAGATATTTGTAGACTCGTGTTGACAGCAACATTATCCACAATAGTGGGGAAGAAACAACCCAATTGTCCAATACCAGATGAGGGGATAAACAAAATGTGGTGTATACATACAATGGAATTTAGCCTTAAAATAAAAAACAGGAAATTCTGACACGCTACAACATAGATAAACCTTGAAGACTATGCTAAATAAGTGAAATAAGCTAGTAACAAAAGGATAAATACTGTATGATTCTACTTAACATGAGGTACCTAGATCAGTCAAATCCACAGAGACAGAAAATAGAATGGTGGTTGCCAGGGGCTGAGGGAAGGGCATAGGGAGTTATTGTTTAATGGACACAGAGTTTCAGTTTAGGAAGATGAGAAAGTCCTGAAGATGGATGGTAGTGACCGTTGTACAACACGAGAATGTATATAATGCCACTGAATTATATACCAAAAAATGGTCAAAATGATAAACTTTATGTTATGTATATTTTACCACAATAAAAAAAGTATTCAAAACCAATAAAAACCACCAAATGGTTGCAGTTAAGTTATTATTTTTCCTATAGATATCAGAGAGCATATCCTATAGATATGTGAGATCTAGGAAAGTTATAAAATATACTCATGACCTAAAACAATATAGTTTGAGAGGGGGCAAAAAAAGGTAAGGTTTGAGAGGATACCTCTTCAGGTAAGGAGTAATATCCTTAGTAGAATTACAAGCTTAAAAAAGAAAACACGAAGTATTATAAAGAAACTCCCTATTTAGGGAGTCCATGGTCTTAGCTGAATTTAGTGTCTCTTAATTTACCTAATTTATGTTATTACTAAAACAAAGGCAACTTTGCAAATATCCAATAATAATCAGCAATACACCAGGTGCTACTAATACTCTGTAATGTGCTAAGAATCTGTAAGAGGCAATCTTAACTTGGAATCTATGGATGGACTTCAGGAGCTTCAAGAATTCCAAGTAATCACATATTGTACAAAACTTTGTGAGTTAGTTATGTACATTGTTCTGGTAAGATTCTAAATTCTCAATGGGGTCAATGATCCAAAAAAAGTAAAGAAGCATTGCTCTAAGAGGCTCTCAGCCATTAAAGGGACAAATTATCCTGGTAACCTGAAATCATCTACCAATACCCTGATCACTACCAGACACTGTAAGTTGCTAGAGACACTAACATTAACTTCCACTAAAACAGAAGACAATTTATCTAAGTCTGTAACTTTAAAGGCTACCATTCTTTTAACTAAGGATTATTTGTAAGTTAAGGTGTAGGCAGGCCAATGGAAGAAAGCCAATAAATAAGTAATCAATAAAGTATTTTTAAAAGGTAAAATTACCTTAGATGTAAATTTAAGGTATTTTGAGTCTGGTTTAAAAAAAAACAATCATTGGGCCGGCCCGGTGGCACACTGGAGAGTGTGCCGCTTGGGAGCGCGGCAGCGCTCCTGCCGAGGGTTCGGATCCCATGTGGAGACCGGTTCCTGCTCACTGGCTGAGCGCGGTGCGGGCCCAACACCGAGGGTTGCGATCCTGTTACCGGTCAGTAAAAAAAAGACACAAAAAGGAAAAAAAGGAAAAAATAAAAAAATAAAAAATAAAATTAAAAAACCAATCATTGTAGAGTATGCATAAAGCAAATGCACTTCACAGGGCCTGGTTTTCCAAAGCCTTGCAGTTTCAAATATTGACTTTACAAAAAACAGGAAATTTTCCCCAGGCTATTTATTTAGTCTGTGTTGTAAGATAAGAATTATAACACAACAAGGCTGCTGGTTCAAAGACAGACAGGTTACTGATGGATATGTAAAGTTACTGAGAGACTGCTGGAGGGAGAAGGAATGTTTGCTAGATCAAGCTTTTGTTAGTGGATCACTTAATTGCCTAACAGAATGTCATCTGACTTGTTATTACTGAATATTACCAGCTTCTATCATTAAATTTGTTAAAACTATGTCTCTTCCTGTAACTTCCTGGGCTAGAGAGTAAATGCAGGAAGAGAACCCCAATTCATGGTTAATTTCCCAGATGGAAGAAATGCCTCTTGCTTGAGGGTTCTGGGATATTAACCCCTTTCTGGGGTGTCTCACTGCTCAGAAGAGATGAGCTTTGAGTAATCTTTGGCGGATCCATCACCCAAGGGAAAAGGGGTGACAAATTCACGGGAGACAAAGGAACAAATCATAAAGCTTTAGCAATATGACCACCAATTTACAACCCACTACCTCCATACCCACATACATTACTATTCTATGGCTAGTGAGGAAATGGGTAAAATTCCTTAGGCACGTATGACATTTTATAGCATAAATATAACTCTACCTCAAAAACAGATTTGAAAGTAAGCCTGAAGAAGTAAGAACCCTAAAACTTCTGCTTAAGTGTTGGTCCTACAGCAGCATCATATTAACAGAAGACAGTGGTGATCACATCCTGGTATCAGTGGGAGTTTCCTTCAGGTCCTGGCAAAAAATGAAATTTACTAAATTACTCTCAGACTCCCTGTACAAACTCCTTCTACCCCCACCTACTCAGCCTTGGCTTCATGGTGGCTTTAGGAACCTCTTACCAAAAGGGGGCAGGGAAAACCATAACAGTAGGTCCTGTTGTCATTAAAACTCTTAGTATTGGGGGTTGGCCAGTTAGCTCAGTTCGTTAAAGAGCAGCCTTATTACCCCAAGATCACAGATTCAGAGCCCCTATAGGCCAGCCACCAAAAAAAGCCCAAACCCCCCCCCCCAAACCCACAACCATTAGTACTGATCAGGAAAGCCTTCTTTTTTATCCCAAATATTCTTTTCTCTTTAGAGTTGGTACACAGGCACCTTTTGTTCTTTGAGGGGAAATGTGGAATTGTATTTGGACTGACCCGAGGAAGATTATCACACATGTTAGTTTTCATTAGAAAGTTAATGGGCCGACCCCGTGGCGCACTCAGGAGAGTGCGGCACTGGGAGCGCAGTGGCGCTCCCGCCGTGGGTTCGGATCCTATATAGGAATGGCCGGTGAGCTCACTGGCTGAGCGAGAGCGCGGTGCGGGCGACTCCACACCAAGGGTTGCGATCCCCTTACCAGTCATGAAAAAAAAAAGGAAGTTAAAAGCCTCTGTTGCATTAATGATGTAGAAGGAGCGAGTACCTCTTAGCATGACTAAACAACTCACAAGCAAGGTGCTGAGCTTTCTAAAATGTGTTATTGTGACATTGTAAGGTCTCATTATATTTTTAGCTAATGTCGTGATTATCAGAAATTCTTCTCAAAATGTTGTATTTTAGTAACAGAACTGCCTTATGCCTAAACCTGGCTTCTTAACTATGTATGCCCTGTTTTTAAAAGGCTAGATCTCAGATATAGAAATGACCAACTATTATATATCCAGCAAGGACATATTTCTGAGTCCATGAAGTAACACCTTCCTGTTAGTCTAGAAAACTTTCTGAGTTAATATTTTCTTGGCTCAGATTTTCTATTTTCCT